ACCATTAGCAGCAATAAATACATTGCAGACATACAAACATATATACACAGTGATTCGTTTATTTATTATATCAGTATCTTTTAATTAAAGATGTCACTGCTTTATGCAATGTCAAACCGAGATTTTATTTTCCAAATTAATTTTAAGAAGAATCCATGTTATCCTTAAATTAGCCTTTAACTTATAAATTCAGTTACATACAAATACAAGCCACTTAGTATTTTATTTTCAAATATATGTTTTATTCATTACAGTTATCACAGATTTTGTGGGTTGAAAAAAATAGGTTTTGGGCGATGGTCACATCTATACAAATATTTTGTGTTCGTAACATAAACTCAAAGGTGCTCCTAAAAATCAAAATTAATTTTAACGGATTGCATTTATTTAATTTTAATCACTATCCACTATTTTTTTTTAACGGGCTCAGATTTACGACAATTTATGTTACCTGTACACACCTTCAAATTCCTATAAAGTCAAATTAAAAAAAAATAACTACTGTTTAGAGTAATCTTGCGGAACTAACGTAATTCGATTTTAATGCGAGGTAATAAATTCCAGTTAAAATTAAACCGACTCTATAAAGACATTTATATGTAGACAGCAACCGAGAAACCAATAAACCTCTGTTCGAAACTATCCCAGCAATGCGAGATAGGCACCGTTCAACTAGTTCAAGGCCCCTTTTTTCGAATTTCACGCCACGAACGCCACTGGCCGCTGATTCATCCGGCATTCTCGCGTTTTTTCGAGATTCCGTGTCGTTCCATCCTCTATTTTTACGTGAAGCAATAACGCGTGCAATGAAGAAATCGCCATTAAAATTTCTGCAAGTAATTAGAATATGAAACGGTCGATCGTGGGCAAAACTACCACTTTCTTGCTAATCGGGTGGATCTGAAGAAAGTCGAGATGAAGAATAATAAGATTAGAGAAGAGATAATAGGGAGTTGCGCGCCGCTGTGGCAATCTTCGTGGGAACTAGGAGAAGTCATTGTTATGTCATTTTTTTCTTTTTTCCCGACGACAATGGCACCCAGTGACGGACAGGTCGATGAAGACGTTCAACAATAAAAGAAAATGCCTGATTTTGCACTAAAATGTCGAATGGTCGGACTTTCACCGTCTTATTGAGTGAAGAAACATTGTAATGAAGTGAAGAGAGAAAAAACCGATGCGATGCGAAATATGTTATTAACTGGCTCAAATATGCGGCAAGCGAGAATTATGAGGAAATTGCGAGATGTGTGGTTTTTTGGCGGGAAAAGTGACGGGTTGCAGTGCAACTAATTTAGTTTAAAAGATGGTTACGTTGGGTGAATAACAGGTGCTAAATTAATGGCACCGCTCGGCAGCTGATTTAAAAAACGTGTAATTTAGAAATGTCGTTCAAATTTATTGTCGACATAAAAATTTATTACGAGATTAGCGACTCAAGGCGAACGTTACTTCAAGCTTTCACGAATTAGTGGTATACAGGGTGAACAACTGTTTGGAGGTACATACAACAAAATTATTAAGCAGCTTTTTTTGCTTTCTCTTTACAAATTCAAATGATTACGTTGTAACCACAGGAAAAAATAATTTAGTGCGTCTAAACTGGTTGGTTTCCCAAAATTTCGGTTCAGATGGAAGACTTAAAAAAATGTCACCATTTTTTATTATTTCAAAAAACAATGCATTTAATATTAAATGTAAGTTAAATATACTTCTAAGATTAGAGAAGCTTAACTTTTTTTGAGTTATCTGTGTTTAACAAAAAAAAAAAAAAAAACCAAGTGCTCCACTTCACGTGGAGTGATCGTATCAAAAGTATCCTCAAAAGGGTGGCGTCTGGTTCGGTTTCGCCCAATACTAAATACATTGAAAACATCGTCGTAGTTTCCGGAATTGCATTTTTACTGAAATCGCCAACCAAGTCAGAATCTAAGTAAACCTGCATTCTGCTACCGCATCACAGCTCGTTTAATGCCGATTTCTCGTTTCAATAGATTTTGACTTTTCGTGAGTTATTTACCTCAGTCGTGGATTTTTTAATATTATAAATGGTATCAAAAGAAAGCTGACACTTTTCCCCAGGGGACCTCCTATCTCAGAATGCAAAAAACTTCAGCACTTCGTCAAAAAATGCATTAATGTGCCGGTTAAAATGTGATGTAAAAGTCGTTCAACTTTATAATTTTTTTTTTGTAAAAACTGCATACTAGATATGAATATAAATATGGAGGTCCCCTGGAGTGAAGTTTGTTAATTCGAAATATAATTTTTTTAAAGCGATATATCTCATATTTTTAAAATGCAACTCCGGAAACCGCGACGATGTTTTCAATGTATTTAGTATAGGGCTAAACCGAACCAGACGCCAGCCTTAAAAGAACTTACAAGAACATCAAAGCCTGAAAAAATCGTTTGGTTTTGATTTAAAAAAAAATGTCGAAGGCGTCAATACTGAAAAACAAAGGACAATTGAAATGAAATGTTCTGGAAAAATATGTATTTTTTTATCATAATTTGATTTTAATGGCATTAATCCAAGCTTTTGGCACCCACTGTACTTAGTATTATACTTTTACTATGTAATGTTATGTAGTTTTCCATTTTATTTAATTACTAATAAAAGTCAGAACAATTTATAGGAAGAAATCTAAATTAATAGGTTTTTTTGTAATGTAAGCAGCTTTGTAAGTGAGCAACGGAAAATTCTAATTATTTAGCGAGCATCTTATAAGATGAAAAATCTGTTAAAATAGAGCAAAATTCCGTTTCATCATAAGTGAAAACAAATTTTTCCACCTATTTACTTGTCCAGTGTAAGCTAAATTTTGCTTGATAGACCCTATTTAAATTTTATATTTGTGATTTATGCCCTAAGCTTTTACTCTAGACATCCAAATTTTCCTCCAAAAAAAAAAAATAAGATCTGAGTGTAGCATTGAAATGGCGCAGTGATAATCACGTCGAACTGTGACTGGTATGATCTATATATTTTTTAACTTTTAGAGGTTATCATAAAGTAAATCAAATTTAGCGAATTAAAATTTTATCATTTTTCGAAGAAGCCGAATTGTTTGGACTGTACTTCAAGAGCGAAGGAAGGTAATACTATTTTGTATCATATTATGCTTTATGAATTATGATACTCTATTACGGTAAACATCCCCGTGAATCTGTGACAAATGACGTTTGCTATTTTGAAACCTAAATGTCATGGTTATATTCAGGAAGTAGTCGATTATCACAAATTCACTCAGCTAAACGCCGAAATAAAATAATTTCATAATGTCGAAAGTCCTGGTACAGTGAAGTCGTATACAACCTCAGTATATTTATTACATGGCAGTTCAAATACGCCCCTGTGCGACACTTGAAGAACACTAAGCTTGGACCGAATAAAGATAAAACATCCTGTATATCTCCTCCGGAGAGATATTAGATGACCTTAGTTTTTAAATATGAATACAATGTTGTCTTTAATTGACCTTAAATGATGCAATGCAATTTTACATTAATATTTCTATATTAACTACCGTAATAACAAATTGCACATACTTATGTTGTCTGGTTTTCTGCAGTGTCACTGTGACCTCAAGATAAAAATCGTTAAATTGGCAATTAACAAGTCAAAGTAGAAAAATCGAACTAACGGTTTTTTGGCAGTGGATGGCAGAAAAATAACAAGTTTTGACATTTTTATGTTATAATTTTAAAATTAAAGACTTTGGTTACTACTACGACGACCATTTGAAACTTTCCTTACTCAGTTGCTTTTTTAGGTGCTTCAAAGCTGATACTTATGTATGAGCACAGATAATACGGTGCTAAAATATCAAGACATTACAGATTACAACCAATTTACATAGCACACATGAAACAAGTTGATTGTTTCTAAAAAAAAACAAAATCTAACTACACAATCATTAGCTATAATAACTGTGTAACATATTACGTCAATATTTTTAATCTCTACATTCGAATTTTGAAAAATAAAATATAAATGAAATAAAGACTAAATTAGTTGATTAGTGCAACTCTCAAAACAGTTGGATATTGTTTAAAATTGATTTTTGCTTCACAGTAGTTATTTAACAATGAAACATAAATTAATGTTTTCTAATCTATAAGCAGTGTACAAATGTTTCCAAAAAACCCATTTTCGTACAACGCCAAAACATGCACCTCTCGAAAGAACGTTCATTACATCCATCAAAGTGAAAATCAACAACGAAATCTAATTCTCTTCTTGTGTTACCCTACTAACACATAACTGTAAAATTCCGTAGTGTTACACCGGAAATCAACACTTGATTCAAAACCCTACAATTTCCTCTTAAAAAATATGGTAAAATGAACAACTGGACTGTGTCGCTCCACCGGCCTTCATTTAATTATATTTATTCTTTGCCGCTTCTATGCGGTATTTTCAATGAAAGAAACACAACCGTGTCATAAAAGTTACAATTTTTTGCGCAATAAAAATTCACACAAAGAATGTCTTACAAACTTGTCCGGTTTCCTGTCGAACGTATTGGGTAACGCTTGGTCACTTTTTTTAAAGACAAATAATGAAAATCCGTTCGCGTTCAGCAAAATAAAAAGCACCTGCATCCTCTAAGTAACTATTTCAAAACAATGTAATTACAACGTTCCTTTCATTTATATTAATTCTGGTATTTTTAAATTGTTCGGTTTCTTCCTTTCAACTGCGCTGTTGCGTGTTCTACACAATAACACAATTTATTAGGGTTAGTAGGTAGAAGAGTGGTTTTTCACATTATTTGAGGATTTAAATAGGTTCTAAGTACATTAACAACACAAAGTGATGTTCTAGTAAATTTTTGAATAATTTTCAGTAATTTCAAAAATATGTCGCCGGTTCAGTTGAAAAAGTCGTTAAGTTGGCCTTGATTTCTTGTAAACATTACATGTCTGCAATTTATTGTCTTATTAAAAACCATCACTCGTTGATAGCAAGTTTTTATCTTTTTCGTCTTTTCCAGACTTGCAACTGGCAGCCGAACTGGGTAAAACCCTCCTAGAGCGAAACAAAGAGCTAGAAATCGCCCTAAAACAACACCAAAATGTCATCGAAGACCAAGCTCAAGAAATCGAGGTAAACCCCTAAATTATCCGCTGTCGTCCATCTCACTCTTTTCTTTCCAGTACCTCACAAAACAAACAGTTGCTCTACGAGAGGTCAGCGACTCCAGGCTCCGAATCTACGAGCAACTGGAAGTCAGCATCCAAGACCTAGAACGTGCCAACCACCGCCTAGCTCTTGAAAACTCCGCGGGCAAAAAACACATCAAAACCCTCACCACAAATATCGAAACCCTAGAAACTCGATGCGAAGAACTCCAAACAACAATCGATGACTTAAGACTGCAAATGGACGCCCTCAGAAAGAGGGCGCAGCGACCTACAGGACACCCCAACACACCTCCACCCACTACGATCGTGCTGAGGCACGTGGACACGTACGATGGGAACATTTCAAAAAGCCCCGAAACTAAGCCTACGCACACGATAGAAAACGTAAGAAAGAACTCCGTAATAAAGCACAGCGTTCAAACCAAATAAAAACATAATGGAATTCGGTAGACTTTTTACCCGACATTTGATTATCTATGCTCTTAACAAAAACAGTTAAAAAAGTAGCACTAGCGGTTACTTGTAGTTTGTCTTTGAACTTTATTTACTGTTTAAGCGGGTTGATTTCACGCGCTTGTTGCAGGCACAGTGTGTCAGAAACTCAACCCCCATCAAGACTGAACCCGCAGCGGCCTCACAAGAGCAGGCTGCGAACGACGCCACCATGGAGCAAATCTCGCAACTTATGGCGCAGCTGCGGGAGAGTAAAACTCAGGCGAGTCGAGATCAGAGGAGGATCACGGAGCTGGAGGAGCAGTTGGCGACGATGATCCAACAAAACCAAGCGCTCGAGAACCAGGTGATTCAGCTGCACCATCGCGACGATGACATGAAGAGCATGTACGACGAGTTTAGTACCCTCGAGGAAGTTAGGTGAGTGTGCGGAAGGTTCGTGCGTGGAGTCGGTTCACGGGTGGGTTTTAGGAGAGGGAAAATGTGTAGCAGATGTCTTCGGAACATCGACAGGAGCAGCGATGATGTGGCGGAGGACGATGATTCCAGTATTCTGGAGAACCTGATGACGTCTACTCCTCCGCAGCTTAGGAGTTCGTTCTCTTTGGACGTGCAGGTGAGGCCCGAGCTAGTTCGTGCTCTAGGCTTTCTCTCTCTATCGCAGTGCTTTTTCTAGTGGTGGTGGTTTTGATGTGTTGTGAGTGTTTATAATTTTTGAATAAAGCAAATTTTATGAATGCTCTTTTATTTATTTTTTTTATCCGTTTATGAATGGTGCATGTTTTAGTTGTTGTGTTTGTTTCACAGGGCGAAAAAGAAATGAAGGATATGCTCCGTAGGGAGATGTCCGTTGTATGGATTTCGCCTACTGCAAGTTTATTGTCCTTACTTATTGACTTTTGCCTCTATATTAGAGACTTTTATTTGATACCGTTCCTGTACAAACCGTTCAAAATTCCTTTTATCCTCATACACTACTGTCTCAAACACAATAAGTTACACTGAAGGTACGTAGGATTTTTTTTAAAACGGTGAATGGTTTCTGAAGCAGTTTTCGTACATTCACATATACACACACTATACTCTTAGTCTTCCGATGTTTACTTTGGAGCATCAAAGATTCTGTGGCGCGGTTTAGTCTTGCCATTACAACTCCGAAATAAACATTTCTGTAAATATTCTAATCAGATGACCTCTTCTGTACAACTAATTCATTATAGTCTGACGGATCAGTGATAAAATTTATTCAACCTTTCGACTGGAAGGTTACATATTGTAATAACCCAAGGATTAATTCAAATTCATTGCATATGGCGTCAAATAAAATATGATTCTTATGACGTTGTGAAACAAACAGTGGAAGTGTTTTTAGATGCATTGAACAAACTGGAGATGCAAATTTGGATAATTAATTATTATTCAACTCAAAACAAATTATCAATTAACACTGTTCCCAATATCAATACAATAAAAATCGCAAAAAGACGCCAGGTGCATCTTTCCCTTCGCATTTAAACTTAGTAACACAAGCGACTTCTCTTGGCCTTGTGGGATTCCAAATTTACTGTTTTGGATACAATTTCTACACAAAAAACAAACCACCTGTGTCTCGATTTCATCGCTTCACACGTCACACTCTTAACAAGTAGACGATCTTCATGGTACTCGAAAACTTTCGTATCATACGAGTCTTAATCACGTGTTCTTAAAGTGACGTTATTTTAAGATTTAAATTTGATTTGGGTTATTACAGTATGATTTGCAATATTAAACGGGAGTCTTGATTGGTCGGATCCTGCCGTTTTATCGTATTCACGGATCAACAGCCACTTCCAATTTATCAGTTAATCTTCAATTTACACTCTCCAATCAAAACGTCCAGTTCGTGCCATCTTCACCCTCCCAAAACAGACTATAATGATAGCGAACCCAACCTGTATGATTAGCTCTAAGTCAGCCCATGTATAATAGTTTTCGTTCCAATAAAAATTTTATCCTCGTTGTATGTCCGAGTTTTCTTCTCTTTCTAACCCACCTCCACCGTCTCCGTGCCACCACTACCAACTCTTTCTTTCGTGTTTCTAGGAACGTCAATCCCCTCCCAACAAAGAAACCGGCAACTTGTACAAAGACCTCGTCGAAAAATACGAAGCCCTCCTCGAAGTCCACCGCCAACCCCTCCGCACCTCCGCCAAGCGAAACAACGGCGTTTCCCTCCAAGAGGAGCTCCAAATGTCTGGCGATTTCAGCATCACCAACACCAAAGACACGGACGAAGAAAGCGGAGTCGACAGCCTCAAGCAGGTCCACCCCAAAGCGCGGATGACTTTCTCACACACACCGACGGACTTCTCCGAAGCCGAAACGAGCAGTTCGGGCTTCTCCGACGAAACGAGCAACAAGTACACACAGACGGACGATCGGCCGGGTTCGTTCTTGTGCACGATCGCCGACGGCGAAGACCGATTCAGTATTTATAACGACGCTAGCCCCATTTCGACGCGCTTCAAGAACCAACCGGAGTACCAAGAGCTGTTCAAGGAGATCTTCACGGTTTTGAAGAACACGCCTGAGAAAACTGAAGTACCGAAAATCGAAGAGAAGACGCCCCCTGCGATCGCACCCGAAGAGGTGTCGCAGATTACCGAACTGGACGACGATTCGCAGAGCGTTGTGTCGTCGACGATGTCCGAACTGTCGCTGTCGCAGAACGAGCCGACTACGATTATCGAGAATATTATTCAAGCGCAGAACCAGCCGATTCCGGAGGCGGAAGTCCAGGAGAAACCCGAGAGGGTGCTGAAGCCGTTGGTGCGTCAGCCGCTGGAGTATCTGTCGGTGGAAGTCCGCAAGCGGTCGTCGAGCAGGCGCAAGAACAAGTTCGCGGACCGGTCGGACTCACCGGTTACTCATATTATCGGAAGTCCCAAGATTAACTATTCGAGTAGGCCGTCGTCGGGACGAAGGCGACGCGATTTTAAAAATCCGGAAAACGATCCCACGTGGAACGGGAACACGATACAATTCTGGTCGTCGAATAGGAATATAGCTTCCCCCACTCCGAGTCAAGGTAGCGGGAAGTTTGAATATAGACCGAGTTTGGCGTCACAAGAACTACACAAATTGAAGAAGTTGGATCTGTCGTATGCCGAGGTTGTGAGGAAGGCGGATAATAATAAGAAGCAAGTGGCGAGACAGAGAAGGAAATAAATTTTGGTTTTTCTTCCTTTGTATATATTATGTAGTTGTTTTGTTTCACTTTCATTTTAATGCGTTTATTCCAGTATTTTACATGGTTTGCCTGTGTGTGCAAACTTTTTGTGCCAATCGTAAAATTTTAAAATTATACATATATAATCACAAACTTGTATTTAACAGCACTTAATTTAACTGAATTACATTCCATCTTTATTTATAGGTTTCGGAACTAGGCGGTAGCATTTTTACTCATTAAATTAGGAAAGGATCATATACATTTGTGATTATATTATTATATTTCAAATAAAAACATAATTGTATTAGCGACTTTTATTATTACATACTTCAAAAAAAATATATAAACACATACTTAATTTTAATAACACAAGATTGACCTTGACACTCGTAATTACAAAACGCTTATTCTATTTCCTCTGGAACAACACTTTGTGGATTGTGGACAAATCTGGTACTAACTTACTATTGGCAGAATTTGAAACTTCCACGGTATTTAACAACCTGCAACAGAGAGCAATTTTGATTAGAACAACGATCACAAATGTTAATTAAGTAAAAAGTGAACTTAATATTTACCTTCAGTGAATAAAAAGAAAAATATTAAATTTTAAATCAAGCCTAAAAATGAAAAATAAGATCATACAGTCAAAACATTTTTATATTTTAATACATTTAATTAACAAACGTGATCGTTTTTTTAGTAACGTTACGTCCAAAGAACCTAAAACAATCCAATTAATAATATAAGTGTTTTGTTTTGACTTCTGTCCACAAAGGCATGCACTGTTTTCAAAAAGTTTTGTTTCAAAACTTCAACATCTTAACTTTTACACCAAACACCAAAACCAAAACGCATTGAGTAAAAAACAACAAAAATAAGTAATATACAAAAATCTTGAAATAAAAAGGCAGCTTTTGACATAATGTAAATTCAAAAATTTTAATAAATTTTAACATTTTTCATGATAATACCGCAAATTATTTAAGTTGTTTAATAATTATTTTATAACTGATGTTGCAGATCTTTGGCACACTTTATTTTTATTCTGTTACAAAGCCATTAAAAAAATAAATAAAAACCACAATCAATATATGAATCTAGAGAAATTTTCGCTTAGCCACAAGAAATAAAACCCAGTCGTCAATCCTGGTCAAACAAACATCAGCTACTTTTTACATATTTATATTTAGCACAAAATAGAATTTTAACAATGTTGGTCCTGACTGGATTATTATTATTATTATTATTTTAAATATAACCCTCTTCAAAATATGACCAATCTAGACAAATGCCTGTTAACATGAGGTAAAATCTAAAATTAGACGTCCTGCCAACCAAATAAAATTTGGGCTAAAAAAACGACATGCGTCACTACCTTTTTAGATCATAAGATATTTTACAAAAGTTACTTTTAACAAATTAGATATAACCAAAACGAAAATGTTATTTTCTTTCCACAACTGAACACTTCACCATTATATTAAATAATACCCACATAAACAACTAAGTTCAAAAACATATACATCATATCAAAGACCACCATTTTACCAACAGATTCCAAATTAAAAAAAATCTATTGACAAACTGTCAATTTTGACAAACAAACGCATGCCGCCTTACTACCAACTTACCTGTTAAAACTCCCTAAACAATTCACCTAATATTCTAACTCACCCTTGACTATCCATTTTGCTGAGAGCCGGCGCTGTGGGATTATTCAACGGTCTTTTATTAACAAGAAGACATTTCATAGGTTGACCATCCAACTGTCTGTTATGATAAGTATCCACCGCTTTTTGAGCATCCTTTAGATTCTTATAAATAACTTCAGCAACTCCTGGACGCACCAATCTAGCAGCCAGCAACTGACCAATATCTTCAAATAATTCCTACCAACACACACACAATTCATCAACTACACCACTCAAAGACATTTATTTAAAATTACCTTAACGTCATCTTGAGTAACGGTAGGTTGCAAGTTTGAAACAACTATTCTATGTCCTGCTGGTACAACTACTTTAGTTTTCGGTTGCCCAAAAATCCCATGTGTCTCTTGCTCAATGGGGCTACTATCCAACCTCGAATGTATGTTTGAAATTCTCGAGGAGCCTTGCAACGATATCGTTTGTTTAATGGGGGCTAGCGGCATCTCTTCATCATCAACAGCATCCAGATCTACATAAGCATGTGGCATTCTCAACGGTTTACTAACCGGGAAGTTCTGCCAGCCTTGAGCTCTCCGAGTTTCAAGAGACCCGATCAACTGAGATGCCGTCGTACGCAACCCCGGTTTCGACCATTTGTACAATGAAGGTTCATAACTCCTCAACATCTGACTATAAACTGGATCGATGTCGTTCAAAACTGTCTGCCTTACAGTTGGTGGGATTCGATTTGTGTTCAGCGTTCGCCTAATAACTGTTTTTTTGGGTGCGGTGATTAAACCCAACTCTTTTTGTATTGCCACGTTCATTCCTGTTGTTGTTTTGCTTTTATTAGTAACCAAACTGATTTTACCGTTCCGGTCCGTTTTCTGGAGGATGTTGTGTCCAATGACTTTGATATTTCCATTCGCGGTTGCTATTCCACCCCGTTTTTGTCTCAGTTTGTTTAGCTTGTTGCGAGCGTCTTGGCCTTTCGCAATTTTCGCAAGGACGTCTCTGGCGTCTTTTACATTATTGCGTTTCTTCTGGATGAGCTTCTGGCGAGCGTCTTGAACTTGAGGTTTGTTAAATACGCGTTTTTTTATTATGATGCGGGTATTTTGGGGTTTTATTTTTGTCGAGACGTTGGGTTTGTTTCTAAAATGAGGTGTGTTAGTTGGGTTAATTTTAAAGCAATGGAAGTCACTTACCGAATGGGTCTCTTTGCCATGGTCGGGAAACTGTGGAAGGATGGTGGTTTTTGATTTTCACTTATATTAACAACGAGGATTAAATTTAGGACAGCTGCGACGCGTTGTTACACAATTTGTACACCTAAACAAGTTATGCGGTTGACAAATACGGAATACGAAAACGATGTTTGACGGACGACAGAAATAGTCTGACACGAACGTAAGTGCGCATGCGTAAAGCAAAGGTATTCTTCAGAACTACCAACTTAAAATAGGATTAAATGTAAATATGAATTTAAATTTCCTCATATAAATTAGCAAATCTATAAACATAAAAACTGCATTAGATAAAAATTAAAATACATTTTTTAAACAAATTGTAAAATACCAACTCCAGTGTTATAGCTGGTTGCATAACACTTCATAAAATGTCCATTTTTTTTTAATTTGAGCTAAACTGTTACTACAAAATTACGTTGTTGTTTATTATTTTGATTAAAAATATTATTTAGAGCGTACAAAAGTTACACAAAACAATGAAATAAAATTATTACAAAATTGGGAAGAGTTTTGTTAACTTGGATGAATCATTAAGGACGCTATCCTCGATATCTTCTAAAAATTACATATAAACATTTATAATCGTCACAGAAATTTTGAGCCTTCATTTTCATTGTGTAAAATTTTGAAATCGTCATTGAAATTGAAATTGTATTAGATTTTAAAATTTTACGCGTGGAAAATAAAGGCTCCAAATCAAACGCACTAGAATGTTTGGAAATAAATAGGTACAAAAGACTCAATAAATTAATGAACGACCAAACCGAGATAAACAAATCTCCCTTGTTGAACTTGAATTTGTAAACACTATTGTTAAACTAAGTAAGTATATAAATTTAAATTAGCTTTGTTAAAACCTTAGATCATATAATAAATATTATATGATCTACGGTTTTTACTTATTGTAAGCGAGTCCATAACCCCTAGAGTACGAAGAAATAGTTCTCCCGTTTCGTCTGTCTGCCGGGCGTCTGTCCGGAATTATTTTCTAAATGTGTTCTTTGTCGGTATCTTTCAAGCAATAAAGATTCGGTTTCCTGGACATTCCTAATACGATATATTGGGGATTACTGGAAATATTATTCTTTTTGATTTTGTACAAAGGGTTGTTACCTGATTTTATGGTTCGCTGCAGTTTACATATAAAAATTTACAACATGGGCTGGGAAGATTAACGGATTAATATTCAGTTTTATAGTTATAACATCCTGTTGCCGGGTGTATTATGTGGAAGGAATTCCCTAATCAGCACCTATCCACGTTCTCTTCTTCAGGTTGTAGGTAAAACGTAGTCAGTCTCTTTCTAGAACTCCAGAATACGATAAGTTTGAATACACAAGAAGTTCGTTTTTATTCACAAACGTGTTAAAAATATTTTCCATGTGCAGTAAAAAAGTGGTTGATACATGCAAACATCGTAAAGGTCGATTTATAAGTGAGAGGCGAATTTGGAGATGTACCAAGGAGCAATGTAAGATGACATTGCTAGCGGGCAGCAATGGTGAAAAAATATTAAGAAAATTACCAGGAGAACATAATCACGCCTGTGATGAATTCCTAGAACGAGAAATAATTTTAAATTCGGCCAAAAGAAAGGCTATAGAAGATATAGTGGAAAAACCAGCAAAGATGGTTCACCAAGAAATACAGATAGTACCAGCAAAGATACGACAGACATTGATGCCAATTATTCTAAAATTAGTACGAAAAAACATCTGTGCTGGAAGACGGATTAAATATCCACCATTACCAAAAAGTATCATGAATGTCCACAATGTTCTCGGAAGAATGGATATTAAGTACGCTGATGGACAAAACTTTTTAATGGTAAATAAATCATTAATCATATTTGCAACAGACGAAAATCTCCGTTTTTTGTGCAAAATGAAACGGATCTACGTCGATGGAACGTTTCCCATTGCACAAAACATTTTTATCAACTTTTTATGATTCATGGGATTGAAAAAGGAGAATATATTCCCTTGGTATTCTGCTTATTGCCTAACAAAACTTCCTCAAGTACCCTTGTCAATCAAAAATTCATTATCTGATGTAGTTATTTACACCACTACTTTTTTCCTCATTATTGTCCATGAACTTTTTTTGGCAACAGGTTTGAGTCGTATTTATAATAACAACGAATCAGAAGGCGGATTTTCCAGCTCCGAAATCGAGGATGCCTTCATCGAGGATCTAATGTCAAATAGACCAGAAGATACGACAACAAACGCTTGCGAATCGTTCCATGCCAAGTTTAATAACTCATTTAGTTCCTGTTATTCAAATATTTTTATTTTTTGCGTTGTGTTAAGGAATTGCAACAGGAAGTTTTTATTTTGAATCGCTTGGCAAAGCAAGCGGCTATAACGAGCAATATTAAAAAATACAAAAAAGGTCTTAATGATCATAGCAGTTCTATTAAAAATATTTCAACGCACTATATAAAAAATCAAATTTAAACGGTACGTACAATTAATTAAATTATGTATTAGTAATATTAACCATGTTTTTTGTAGAAATATTAAATGTAGTTCTAATAAATTTATTTGTTGTTATATAAACATTTGGTTTTCTTTAATAAACAAAAACACCATGGTTAGAAATTATGGAAAAAAACTTGAGTATGCTCCTACCTGATAGCCAAGGTCAGTTGCGTACTGCAGTCAGAAAGATTTGTATAAATTCAAGGGTTCATACCATAAAGAGTGTGATACCCCAAACATCCCGCCTTACAAAAATGTGAAAAAAAATTTAAAGCCCTCGAAAAAAAAACAAAAATTCAAAATTTGCCCTTGGCTGTGATCGTCTAACAAATGGAACCCTACGTTGTGTTTTTGAAAAATGGCGGGATGCGTTCAGATGCAAATGGTGGACCCCAAGGTTGGAAAAGTACCCCTAAATAAAACACCAAATATATGGAGGACACACAATCATTTATTCCTCCACTGACAAAAGAAAAGAAAAAAAATCTGCGTGTTGGTAAGCGAAGAAAAATGTTGCTGCCTCAGTGGGAAACGAACCTCACGCCTCCCGCTCTCCGGGCAGGTATTCTGACCACTAGACCACGAGGCCACTTATCTTTCTCTGCTTACCGACGTGTTATTGTCTCGCCACACTGCGACTAAGTTGCGTAGGTTGAAGACCTTCTTAGTGCTCAGCTACAAAAAAAAACTTTGAATGACTTGGAATGAAATCAAATTAAACATTCTGAATCAATGCAGATATTTGATAAAAACAAAGCAAAATCTGAATTAAAGTAGCTGGATGCAAGTACACAAGTTATTACGAACGTGTGGCGGCAAATTTAAAATTATGGCAGTCGAGAAAAGCACAAAATTTTAATAAAAACTCTATGCAGAGGCAGCGGCACCAGAGCGCTATAAGAGTGTGGCGATCGAACAATATCAACTTCATTCTAGAACACAACAAAAGTACCCATTGGGGGCGTTGTAGCACGAGCGGAGTTCGGGGCTCCTGATCGTGACTGTTCTCCTACCCACGATTGTGATTCTATCTATCGCAAGTACTGCCGCAAAGCACTTCTCTGTGACGGACATGCTGTACGAGCAGGCCGTTACGGTCGTAAACTCGCAGTTGGGTCCTGGCTATGGGGTGGAAGCCGACAGCAATACGTCATCTCGACCGCCCCTGACTTCTGTGCTAGCCTGCATCGTTTGTGCAGGCGGCGCGATAAATCCCGCCAGCTCTGCTAGGAACCGCATACTCCGCTTCCGCTACGTGTTATTGCATTATATAACCTCAATTCCATTTAAATGTTCAATTTCTATGACTCTGATATTAAACTACAAGTGAACAAGTGTTAAAGTTCAAAAGAGCAATAAACAACATTTGGATTCGCCATACACGGCGAATCCAAATGCTGTTTATAATATTTGCAATAGCAAAGAATATCTGAGATTAAGGTTGGACGGCGGACAATTGAGAGATGTGTTGATGATACGATGATAATAACGATGATGACTGCATAAGGAGAGAAATCTTTAATCCCCCTGTACCTCAGTCCACGATATTTATTATCAATTCTACCGCAGTTTGTACGGTCTTTTTCCACAGTGGGGCAACGTTAGGTTAATTTAACTGTCGTAAATGAGCTATTAGCAATCTTGTGTGAAGAATTAAGAAGTGTTATAATATAACACTTAAGTATTAGCATCCAGAAACTTATTCATAAATAGACAAACAAAATCAAACGAGTCCTGACTAAGTGAATTTCATGAAAACTTCTGTCAGTGTTTATTTAAACAAATTCCTGATTGTTAAATTGTATTAGCACTAGTTAACGATTAAACTCCTAACATGAACTGTGAATTTACAAACAATAAACAAATCTACATACGTGTTGGCGTTGGTCGAAAATTCACTTTTTCCGATTAGAAAGCAGCAAGAATTAGCTGCGCGTGTTGGGGAAACTGTGGCCACGTCGTCGTTACGATTAATTGTCGTTAAACAAAGGCTTCCTCCCTTTTATTAACTACCAAGCCAACTAACTTAACGTAGCTAACTTACCACGTGGTTTTCACTCACACCACACAACACACAGTGAAGCCTCTCATCCCTCTCTAAAAAGCAAGCCGCCAGCCCTACCCACTACCCAAAAAACGTTAACGTGCACATGGTTGCTTATGTTTAACGATCTCTTTGATTACATTTTTTTCCAAATTCAAATTATTCAAATGCAAATTGCATTATTCAGTCAATTCAGCCCACGAGAATACATTCACATACATCAGTCGTGCAAATTCGAGTTATTAAGAAATAAATTGTTGAGTTTTACCCACGTCGATTTTATCCACCGATCAACGTAACAATGCGTATAGTAAACGTTCTATAATATTAGAACAATAAGATGTCCAAATTTTTGGTGTATTTGCGTGATCTTAAATGCATGCATCCACTAATTAATCACACCGTAGTTAATAACGCGTTCTACAAGACAGGTTGTAGGACGGTGGAATAAAAGAATCTATATAAAACGAAAAATTTATATTTTTAGGATTTCAGGTGTATTTCTGGTAGAAATCCTAAATGCTGAATTTGTCTAAACTATAATTGAGTTAAATGAAATCTATATCTTATAATGTTTCTTTCCACATTTTTCTTGGTAAATGCTTTAAATTAAAATAATCGGACCACGTTTCCCTATAAACCTGTTGGAAGTGAATGTTGGTTGCCTATATTTACATAAAAAATGAGCCAACAATAACTAAAAAGTGGACCATTTAACAAAAAAATAATTCTAGTGAAGGCAATAATATAAAATATCAGTTGTATTTAACAGTAAAATACATTATAGTTTTATTAAAAAAAAATCCTTTTCAGTTTTAATTGTTGTATCTTACAACTCTTCAACTGCCAGCGTAATGATAAGATTGGGAAATGTGTTTTGCCTGTGGCTTATTCAGGCAGATCTTTTAATGAGTATAACGAGGACAGGAGGAACATTTTAAATAAAAATTAATATCAAAAAATTATTTTAGAAAATTACAGATTTCTGTACCAACTATTTTACTACCTGTTGTTCTGTTGTGACTTCTTGCTTGTCAACTTTCCTAACCTTGAAAATGTCACGATTGATTTGTGGTGTGTGTGAAGGATAACAACTACGAAGATAATCACCGCAATTGTTCACACATTTTTTACAAGTCATCCCAGCAGTTGCATCACGAATTTAACCCAACCATGACTTTCATCACAGGAAGAGCCCTACATTACGTCTTCAAAATTCCAGATCGGAAGCAAACGGCCCTCTTTTATCGCGAAATTCTGGGCATGAAAGTGTTGAGGCATGAAGAATTCGCTGATGGATGTGAAGCAGCGTGCAATGGGTAAGTTGTCAGTCAAAACTTTCCCAGAAGTTTTAACATTCAATAGTCCATATGCCAACCGCTGGAGCAAAACCATGGTGGGTTATGGACCTGAATCCAACCATTTCGTGGTTGAGCTGACCTACAACTACGGCGTAAAGTCGTACGAGTTAGGAAACGATTTTCGCGGGATCACCATTCGAAGTAGTGAAGTATTACAAAGAGCCAAAAGTAAGAACTGGCCTATTTTACCTGGGAACGTTCTTGAAGCGCCTGGGGGTTATAAATTTCACATAATTGATTCGCCTCAACCCACAGATCGTGGTAAATTTACAAGAAATGTGAAATGTGTAAATATTTTTGTTGATGTGTGGTTCTAGATCCAGTTGAGAAGGTCACTTTATCCAGCTCGAATCTCTCAAAGTCTGTTGATTATTGGAATGGAATTTTAGGATTGACTATTTATAATAAGACTGATAAGAGCGTGTTGTTGGGTTTTAAAGACAATGAAGCTAAATTGGAACTGGAGAATATTGATGGGCCAGTGGAGAGGGCTAAAGCATATGGTAGAATTGCATTTGCTTGCCCTTTTGATCAACAACCAGCAATTTCTAAAACAATAGAGGAACATAAACAACCAATTCTAACGCCGTTAATATCTTTAGATACTCCAGGGAAGGCTACTGTAAGGGTCATCATTCTAGCAGATCCAGATGGGCATGAAATTTGTTTTGTGGATGAAGAAGGCTTCAGCCAGTTGTCTGAGGTTGACCCAGAAGGGGATAAATTGTTGAATAGATATATAGAAAAGGACAAATCATAAAGAAATAATTCTATGAAAAATGATACATTACGTACTTAATAAATAATCTCACCAAGTTATTTGAATTTTTTTACCCAAAGTTATGTTGTAAATAGTGTTCGCAATTCGCGACGTAAACTTATTTTGAAAGGTTGGCGTATTAAAAATTGATTTCATAAAAAATACAATAAAAAGGTGGAACCGAAAACGAAAACAACAAAGAATTATCTTTGCTATCAGTTTTTTTTTCCACAACATTTTAAATATGCAAGTAATTATTTGTAAACTTTGATCACAAGTCATGTTTTGATGATTCCCATTTTCTTAACAAAAATATGCGCCTTGAACCACAAATTGTCAATGTTAATGAATGCATATCAATAAAACAAAACAAGGACCACATCAAAGTACACTTTTATTTAGCAATAAAATTTATAAAAAATAACAACCTATAAAACCATCCACCCAAGAACAGTACCCATCCCTATCACAATTTACTCTGCCTGTTAGCATTCCAGTTGATTATGTCGGTCCACCAGCTCGGCCTGCTCATGGAATATGGCGACCGGAAAATGGCCGACTGGAGATGCTGATACACCTGTGAACAAAACGATTGGTCAATTCAAGTCTCCTCAATATGAGTGGCGGTTTCAAATTTAGCGCCTTACCTGTCCATCCGACGCTCCCAACACCGAATTCAAAATAAAATCAGGAGGCGCAATCGCATCTATCAACGATACAGCGTCATTTTTAATATCACTGCACAATTTTAAGATGGCTTCATGAATTAAACGAGAAGGCTGAGGCCCTTGGACGTAACCACCTTCATATAAGGTTGGAAGGAACTTTTCTAAGCTCCAGAGACCATACAAGGAGAACAGTCTCAAAAGGACGTTTTTAATGCTCACGTCAGTGGCGTCGCTGATCACTTTCAACATGTGTTGTAGGAAGAAGCGCTATAATTTTTATTACACACCGGTTTCTTTTTTTTTTTTAATTATTACCTGGATGAAAGCTATGCCTACGCTTTTGGCGTAGAAAACTTGCGAGTTGTTTTTAGCCCAGAATTCACCTTCTTTTACCGTCAAAGCGTCCAACTTAGATTTAGTCTCTTTCAAGAGGTAACAAGTAAGCCACTCATAGGCGTCCAAGATGTCTGCAATAATTGTGTAGGCTTTTTCATCACATATATCTGACGGTTACTTACTTTCAGGTCTGCAAACTTCCTCTACGCTACCAGCCCTAAATTTATGCTTTAGGATTTGTAAAGCATTGGAGAGGAAATTGGCCGACTTTAAGGGTGTTGAAATTTTGGTCCCTTTTTCAATTTCAGGCCACAGTTTAATCAACCAGTTTGTGGTCTGTTGAATCAGAACGTGATTTTCACCCTCGTAGGTGCAATTGGCGTCATTATCGTTTCTAATATCACCGATTCCAGACACTATAAAAGCAATAAATGGATAGTGACATGATTTATATTTTATCATACCTTTGAGGTAGCCATGGCCCCCACAAGCCTCTCTACATTCCTGTATCGCGTCTCTGAACAACCATCCAGCTACCGGTTTACAAGCTGACGACACTACGTGGATCTCCATTCCCAAGTCAGCCAATGATTCTTTATTTTCCCCCAGAAGAGAATCCACAGTGAACTTATACGTTGTTTCAACTAACTCTGCGCTGAATAAACGTATCACATAAGCAGCTGCCAAATAGGGCAAAAGTCTGTGTTGCTACAAGTTGTGACTTAGAAATTTAAAGCAAAAGAATGATAATTTTTACATGTGATTGATATTCCAAAATTGGAACTTCCTCTCCTCCATCAGGACCAAACTGTTTTCGCACCGCTGCATATCTAATAGCAATTGTTAGTGCCTTGGTACCATAACTTTCAGTAATACCAGTGATATTAACCCGGCCAATCGAAAGTGCACCCAAGGCAGCCCCGTGTCTATCTCTCGCGCTTTTAAAGGGAGTCACGTATTTACCTTCAGGTGTTACATCGGCATTTTTGTTTAAAAGATTTTCACGAGGAATGCGATATTTGTTAAAAATTAAGAAACTAAACAAAACAATAATTAGAAAATAAATCACACTGGTGTCTACTACTAACCCATTGTCGATGCCATTCAGCCCAATTTTTTCACCCATGTCTCCTACAACTACCCCAGGATAGGGTAACAAAGTCTTGGGATCTCTAATGGGTACAACAAAAGTGTGCAACCCATACTGGACACCATCCACAACTAGTTGTGCATAAACAACAGCACACGAAGCCATTTGGCCTAAACCGCCAGCCCAACATTTTGCCGCCTCAAAGTCCGGCGTATGCATTACAAATTGTTGGGTTTCTTTGTCGTATGTTGCTGTGGTTCTCATACCTTTTGTGTTCGTACCGTGTCCGATTTCAGTCAAACAGAAGCACCCATGGATCTACAAATTACTCTGTTATTGGCTTCCTTAACAAATTAAAGCTGCCGCACTTCTCCCTCTTCAGCCTGTTCCAAGAATTTGAAGTGTCTTGCAGTTCCATGGCTCTGAATAACACTGGTGAAGAGTCCTCTGCCCACTGAGTATTTCACAGACGATGAAGGGCTTAGCTGCATCATCGTGCGTGTCATAAGAGGTGCTCTTTTCAAATTCTCCAACATGGTACCTATGGAAAGTTCCCGAATATCGCCGTAGGCGAGTGCTCGTCTGGTAGCCGTACGTCTTTGTTCATCAAAAGTTTGCATGAGCAAATCATTCTGATATTCAGGGTGATTTCTGAGCACTTCATGAAGTTCACGCTACAAATGAAAAGTGAGGCCGGCTCTAAATTGGGAAACTACTTACTTCAAATTTGACAACTTCCTCTGTATCAATGAAAGTCTTTAGCTTCTTCCAGTCAAAGGAGGCCTTTTTCCGGTAAAAATCCAAAGGGCCTGGGGGAAAGTCTGACAATTCGGACGACATTTTCACAATTGAACTAGATGTTGATCCGTACTTTGTTTTTGAAGCTTAAAATAAATCTTATCTTGAGTATTACGATTACAGAAACAATCCTTTAGAGATAGAAGAAATGGCACCGTCATGGGACAATGTTTGCTATCCACGATACCAAAAAAACAATCGTGCGATGTTTAGTGGACTTTAAACTGGAGTTATCGCATCTGTTTACAAATTAATAACTAAAAAACAACGCTTAGCATAACCTATATGTCATAATTTGCGTACACCAATGACAGCAAGGAAGTAATGACAGATCAACACAGATGACACGTGCGTCATAGTTTTTGTGTCATGTACAGAAATCTGCAGAAATTTTTGAGGCATGAATGCATGATTTTGAATATCAGAATTATTATAAATAAAAAACAAAAACACTGCACACGAATACCTCTGGTGGTAATTATGCTATTAATTTGTTAGTTGTATACATAAAATAGCGCCCTCGCACTTTCCAAAAAATAGTGACAGTGGCGGCGTAAATGGGGGCGGTGGGGGCGGTCCGCCCCGGGTACCAAGCACCAAGGGGTGGCGACAACTCACTCGCACAGTCAGAAAAACAGAAAAATCACTCTGAAAAACATACAAAAAAAAAATCGGGACGGCAGACATACAGACAGATAGACAGACGGAAACGGGAGACCCTTTTCTTCGTACTCTATGGGTTATGAAAGGTCGAGAAAATGTAAAAGTAGAGAGTCGGCCGACGGACTTCATTACAATACTTCCTAATATTTTGCGTTTGTTTTCTTAATACAGGGTGTTATTAAAAGGTACGTACAACAAAATTGACAGTTCTTCGCGAAATCTAATAGGAAGCCTGAAAAACTTAATTTGTGTTATCAAAATTATAAGGGGAAAATTAACCCCTATCCAACATTTTTAGACGCTACTGAAAGAGAAATAGGTAAAATTAAGTTATTTTAATAAATCCTAGCAACTGTAACAATAATAAAAATAAAACACGCTTTTGTTGCTATAGAAACGAAAGATGACTTTTTTATCAGAGGCGTACAACGAATTTGGACATAAATTTTAATAATTTTTATCTCTAAAAGAACACTTTTACCTGAACTTTCTTTTTAATTTTAGCACCCATACTTCTGTAACGGGCGATAAATTTACTTATTTTTGGAGATGTTGGTATGAATTAGAACAATCGTCATTGTCGTAAAAATCAAGGTTGTCCTTGTGAATCTTGGATTTTATGATTTCACACAATGCTAATCAAGGTTTATAATTTCACAGTTAAATATTGGCGCCCTTTGGCTGGTCACGATGTCTTTGTCCAGTTTTATAAGAGTCCTCTAACTCCTCTAGCCAGTTGCCTGTTTAGTGTGTGTTTGTGTTGTGACACAAGGGGGTAAGTGTTGATATCTCCAAAAATGTGCATGGTTTCATAAAATGTTTAAAGTTTTATTTTTGTTAATATTTTTAAAGTTCAGTTTAATTTTGATGATAAATCGCCCTTTGTATTCTCGATTGGATAACGTTTTAAGTTTATATTTTTAAAGATTAATTTGCATTGAAATTATTAGTTAAACAGTTATATTGTTTAATGAACGCCGACCACGCAACTACTATCATGTTCCTTACCAAATTTTGAGTTATGTTATAAATCTTGAGTTTTGTTATATTTTTGTTAAACATATTTTTAAATGTTTGCTTTATTCTGCTTTCCAAGATTTAGTTTCATAGTTACAATGTTTTCTTGAATTTATTTAAAAATGTTTAAATACTGAAGTTTTTTTCTGTTAATTATATTTACATGTTAAACTACAACACAATTTATTGTTACACCAAATTATTCTCATATGACTAAATCTCTTTTGTACATACTCATTTCTAAATTAAATATAATTTTTCATTTAAGCAAAATGCATATACTTGAAGCAGTCCCTTTGTCCAGTCACTAGAATGTGTTGCCATCATCACGAACCAGCCTACGAACAAATAAATAATATTTTCACTATATGTCGGGCACAAGGTTTTATATTTAATAAATTAACAAAAGTTAATTTTGAAAATCTCCCAAGCCCGCCACACTTCGACACCAATTGCCGATTTTATTTTGTATGTACCTATCAATAACACGCTGTGTACATAGCCATCTTTTCATAACAAGGAACTTAAAACATGGTTAAAATGGTTTATGCAAGGGGATATGGGTTTTGCAATTGTGGGGCGGAGCCTAATTGTAAAATCAATATTTCCTTGTACAAATTTTCCATTTTTAATATGTTTTAAGTTTCATGTTGTGAAAAGAATTCTACACATACACATATTAAAACAAAAAGGCAAAATGAAAGCCCACCCACCCGCCTTATCTCAATTGTAATTTTTTTTATTCGCTCTGAACCAAGAGGACTCAGCTTAACTGCAAAATACTTATTTCTTTACAAGAAATTAAAAACATGTTTTTGAGCATCGTGTTGTTCAAAGAATACTATGTATATACTAAGAAAAAAAGACAAAAACCGCGCCCACCCACCCCATCTCAATTTATTTTTTTTATTTTTAGAAACTTAAAACACACTTAAAATGGTAATTTTTTTTAAGGAAATATGGATTTTGCAATTAGACTCCGCCCCTAGGTCTGCCAACGAATGAAAACTTCATTACTATTTGGATCAAGGCAGTTATATGTGACGCTTAATCTTTGGCTTTAATTTTTTCTTAATATACACAGTATCCTTTGAATAACACGATACTCAAAAAAATGTCTTACATGGTAATTTCTTGTAGAGAGAGAAATAATAACAATTTTGCATTTAAATTTCGCTCTTTTGGTTCTCTACGATTTTAAAAAAATCATCACAATCGAGATAGGGCGGGTGGGCGGGGCTTATATTTTGCGTTTTTGCTTAATATACGTAGCTGTTTTTTCAGAACAAGAAACTTAAAACATGTTTAAAATGGTAAATTCTTGTAGACAAATATCGATCTTGCAGTTAAACCCCGCCCCTCGATCTGACAACGAATGAAAAATTCATCACAATTGAGAATTGAGATCGGGGCGGGTATAGGTGGGGCCTAATCTTCGGCTTTATTATTTTCTTAATATACATACATAGTATTCTTTGAACAACACGATACTCAAAACCATGTTTTTAATTTCTCATAGAGAAAGAAAGATTTTGTAGTTAAGCTCCGTCCCCTTGGGTCAAGACGAATAAAAAAAATCATCACAATTGAGATAGGACGGGTGGGCGGGGCTACATTTTGTCTTTTTTTCCTTAGTATGTGTAGACGGAATACGGCAAAAGTCGAACATCAAAGTTAATATCAACGGCAAGTTGGCAACGGAGTTTATAAACGACAATTTTAAGCTCTAAAAGCAACGTCAGCGGAAACAGCAACTGCAACGGTAAGTTTATAAATTCCACTGCTAACGTTAAAAAAAAATGTTCATGGAATAGTTCCAAATCTGACGAAAATATACGATGAAGTTTCTGCAGAGGACAATTTTGGAAATTTTATACTTGGAAGTCGCCAGCATTTCTTCCCAAGAAGTGGTTCAGTGGACTGCATTGGAGATTACTAATGGAAGGCCAGAAACATCCTTTGAATTTGACTGTGACGACAGTACAGGCAACTTAGGCAATTTACCTTCCTTAAATGTTCATCATATTAGAAATAATACAATTAATATTTATGTAAACGGATTACCTAAACAATAAATTTGGAAAAAATCTTGTATGATACACGTGAATAAACGAATTTTATCAACGAAAAAACAGTTTAGCACACGAGGCGAAGCCGAGTGTGATAATGTTTCACTTATACCATAAGTACCTATTTTGCGATTTGTCACATTTACTTTTATATGTTAAAAATACAACTATTATTTCAGTTTCATGAGCAACAGTCAACATATTCACCCTCACCACAATATTCGTTGAATCGTTCAATTCCATTTTTGCCTTATTTTAAATTTGTTTCACTGTTGTTGCATGTAAAAAACGAGTTCTGCCTATTGAAAAGTGGTACCTATTATTATTTTTTATCCGCAATTGACTTTTATTGAAAATTATTAACGCAAATAATGTCTGGTTATGAAATGCGAAAAAATAGTATACGCTCCTCGATAGAAAAGTCTATTCACAACTCGTATGGTTTTTAAGTTGCTCGCTTCGCTCACTCGTACTCAATCAACTATACTCGTTTGGTAAAACTTCACTTTTCTACACTTGGCACGTAATGTACTATTTTTTAAATTACGGTTAAATAAAATAAATTTTACTGTACGCAAAACATAATGTATATTTAAAAATCTTCCAATTTTTTTTTTTTTTTTAATATTATAAATTAGGAGGTAACTACTGAAACAGAAATATCTATATCTGTTCAATGTTGTAACGGTAAGAAAAGAGTTCTTATTCCTAAGAGAAGAACTATAAAAATTACGCACACACAACAGTAATTATGATAGTAATCACGAAGTTACGATGTCAACTTGGAACTGCTTTTAAACTAAATTTTGACTTCTTTATAAATGAATATAAACTTGGTTTTTGGAGTGTTGGATAAAAACGTTGCACGTTGTTAACTGCCAGTAATTTAAAATCAAAATAATTTTTGGAAATCTGTGAAATGATAGGTAATTTTACCGTAATACCTATTATCTACCTACCTTCATTGGTGTTCACTGCACATTAAAGCATTAAAAAATGATTTTAAAGGAGTAGGTAATATCACGATCACGATTTTTTATTACTGTTGATAACCTAAACAAATTATACAATGAACTCAGACCAAGGACGTTGCAAGTTGCAATACAACGTCTTTGACTTAGACATACTTGACTCATGTACTAAATGTATTATTTTAATAACTGATTAAATGCATACAGTGTACCTGCTGCAACAATCTTAACAACGCTAATCTCAACGTGATTTAATATGTTAGAATATTCTGTGACAAAATAGTAACTAAAATAAATTATTAAAATCCACGTTTATAATTCCAAATTAAAATTGTAGATATTGTTACGAAATACACCGCCCCAGTACGACGCCTATGGCCGTCGAGAGCTTTCTGGACGTACGCACGGCGCTGATGGGTGAATCATCACTGCTGACGGTGTCGACGGCCGAGCGGCGGGCGCATAAAGACAGGTCTGGAGCCATCTCGAAGCGGCGTCCAGGGAAGTCTCGAAGCGGAGTCGCGATGGATGTTCGTGAAAGATCTCGATCAGAGAATATGGGTTTAAATAGAGGCGACCGTAGATAATGAATGATTCAGCCAGTGAAGACAGTCAAGAGCGCCGGAATAATTTCTGTACATATTCGTTGCAATAGATAGTGTTGTAATTCGAGCTAAAGAAATAAATCTTTGAGTTTTACCTACGCCCGATTTATTATTCGCTCGTCAAACGTAACAATATATAGGAAGGTCAACTCAACTGCCAAGTGGTTTTTTCATTATTCTTCGACTTTAATCAAGGTTGAATGCACTATTAATGTATATCCCATTTTACATATAAAATTACTATAATTATTAAACAAATATGTGTTTAAATGCAATAGGTATACAAGATACCCTGGAAACATTATCGCAATTGTTGATGTTATTGTCATTAAAGTATGGCGCACGGTATTAAAACACTAGCTTTACGCTGTAAGTACGTTCTTCAATCTCAAGTTGACTTCATCAACGTTTATTTAATTTTATTATTTTAATATTTTTTGCGTTTTGTTCAAAGTCCACAGAAAGCATGTAAATCCGAAGTCAAATTTATCCGTCCTGTATTTTGGAACTTACTCTCACCCTACCAGTAAAAATGACTGTAACGAAATTAAGAGGTCAGACTGTGTAAGAAGATGTTAAACTTGGAACACTAAGATAACAAATCTTTACAGGAATTAATTATTTTTGTCATTAGAGTGATGGACGCATCGAAATGACACCGTAACTTTACAGTGTCCATACACATTGAATATGCAATAGCTTTTATTTTAAGAAAATTGTTAAATAAGCCAAACAACTAACCATAAAAATGATTAATCTGACCTTTCGTCTACATTAGAACGTGTCGTAAAAAACCTAAATTTCCGGTAATTCATTTTATGGTTGAATCATGTCATACTAGGTACTTTTGGTAATATTAAAAAACAAATTTCAGAATACAGAAAAGAAAATAGTTCGTTGAAACATTGGTGAAAATGAAGCTTCTAAATTCTTGTATTACTTTTTGGCGTTTAATAGTTTTTTCTTTACGAAAGAAAGCTGTTTTTACACATATGAACAGAGTGAGTCATCTTTTAGCAAGCAAACAGAAAGGACTGTTAATGCAGTGTCGATTCCAAGGTAAATCAGTAGTTTATCCGTACACTCACAAGAAGTGTTTAGTACATATTAAAGAAAGAAAAAAAGACGTAAACCTTAATCTACCTTGAAAAAGTGTTATTCAAAAGAACTTGCCACCACAACTCATCACTAAGAATATTTTTCAATTCAATGGTCAATTTTTCCAATAACAGAGAAGTGTACCTATTGGTACTTCATTGTCTTCTTTCGTAATCGACTTTTTCCGAAAAGAAAATTGGATTTACTGGTTCTGGATTAAAATTAATATTACTTAATTAGTTCACTAAAACCAGGAATTTAAATGTTTGCGCTTTTAAGCGGTAATTATAACCATTATTTTCAGTGGAACTTTTACCAGAACTAATGTGTCATTTTTTTTTAAACTATATTGGAAATTAAAAATTTATTTTAGTTATGTTTAGTTTTCTGATGGACTAAAATTGCATTCAATGCAAAATGAAGAAGAGCCGTAAGGAAAAAAATAGCCCGGACATCGATATTTGTGTCGATAGTTAATAGTATATGTCATAGCTGGCTTAGTTTAACAAAGTTGATCTCGTTCTAATAAGGGTAATGATAACTAGGAATTTCGGCAACTGAAATTAACAGCTGAAATTTTGTAGGTATCTTAGAA